TCCTTTATTATACAAGTATACAGAATGTCATTTATTTATTTGTTTGTTTGTTTGTTTTGTTTATATGGATATATAGATAAGTATGCAGTACATACTGTATACACACCCACACTATAAAAAAAACTATTAAAAGGCCAAAGTAATGAATATAAAGGGATTTGATAATTTTTTTATTTTAAATTGATCCATTTTTAAAACCACTTATTTCATCATCTAGCACCTTCAGCATTATGTTGTCATATATCACGCATTTCATTTCCTGTCACAGGGAGGGTGAGATATAAAATGTATAGCTAAAGACTGACACTTATTTTCAGGCCATTAAAGCTATGCTCTATTTCTTAAATGAAACATTATAAAACTGTTAATATTAGCAAAATTAATGAAAATGAGTACAATTGACTGCAAGTGAAAACAAACATGTTAGCTGTGATATATATCAAGTGGGAAAACATATACATCATATGGCTGTAATGTAATTAATTAGAACTAATTAACACAAATGTATATGTGTACTTGCTATTCTTTTTTAATTAAATAAATACATGTTAACATCATACTTCATTAGTTATGATGAATTAAATTTGCACACAGAACTGCAAGACATATCACAATTTTTGCTGAAAGAGTTTAATTAGGCACGACCAACATGCTTTGTTTGACTTTTTAAGAAATTTCATGTAATCCAAAGGGCAATTCTAACCTGCACAGAATGGAGGATACACAGGGTACCAAGTGGAGTGTCTAGGTTTCAATTGTCTCTGTGTTCCTTCCTATCCATTTTACTGCTTAAAAACACCGGATCCAATAGTGGTCTAAAGTCAGCTCTCACCTAACTCCCCACCCTAACATCACCTTCAGTGTGACTGACATCTTCCTAAGGCTGGTCTTTTTTTTTTTGTTCAATTAGCGGGTTGAATGAAAGGAAATAAAAATGACTTGATTACCCATCCACAATCTCAATGTAGATTGGGGAATTTCTCCCGTGTTATTGTATTCTGACAGAGGGGAAATTACCCAGCCATCAGATCAGCACTGTTGGCAATAGGCAGTTGTGCTGATCGAGATAAAATTTTCCAACAGGCAGGTTGTACATTAGAAAGCAAGAAAGCAATTTCTGAAGATTTCTATGTGCCTGTATTATTTTTAAATGGGGGGGTGGAGGGTGACAAGCTTTGCAAGACGTTGCAGGCAAGATTCAGAATGTAAATTGTGGCAAACATGCTGTGTGCACTAGACTATTCACTATTCATGTAAGAAACAGGAATTTGGAAAGCTTTATTACTGCAAAGCAAATGTCCGTTTTAGCTTGTGTAAAAAGAGGTATTAGTTTTAAAAAAAAACGTTTTTAATACTGTATACTCCTGCTTGATTGTGTTACAGTAATAAATATTAAGGGTTAAATCGGGCTTAATGCTTTTGCATGTTAAAATTCATATTTTGTAAATAAAATTACATGCCAAACCCCAGAAAGTTACATGTTTTCTGATAGCAAAGAACCTGTAGAATTAAATGGTGCTAAATTGCTATTTTTTAAGCCACATGATATTTGCGCTAATTTAATCAAATCTGTATTTTAGTGCACACAAATATATAATACCATTTTTAGGAGGTTAAAAGTTTAGGAGGTTGTGTACAATAACTAGACAGCAAATATGTAAAATCCCAAAACTGCATGTGCCCCTAAAACGGTGAAAAACTAGGGTACACAAAATTTCAATAAGCTTTTTATAACTTATGTAGAGTTAATAGTGAGCAATAATCCTAGAATTATTGCTCTCAATTCTGGGGTGCATGACAATACCTCATATATGCGGTGCAATCATCGTTTCATTCCAGTGTACATAGGGGTGGAGGCCATTAAAATATATTATTTTACTATTTTATGAAACTTTTATTTTTAATGTTTTTTTTTTTTAAATGAGCAGCCTTCTATGTGACAGCATACTGCAGGTGGCAGGTTCTGTTTAGGGGGGGTTTATTAGACCTTTATTGTCACCTCTCCACCAATCAAACCAAGGCTGAGTTCACAGTAATTGCACCAAGGTGTTAAACCTGTGAATACAATGTTCAACTTGTCCCAATAGTCCTGCTGCCAAGAATTCCTACATTAGGATGGATAGGAGAAACGTAAACAAGCAACACATTATACCCAGCACAAGGACAGGGGGGGTATGATAAGTGTTGGTAGCAATGTCCTTGTGAAATAAACTGCTTGACTGCGTTAGCCTATATTGAACTTGAGCCAGTGTCATTTAATCCACTGTCACATAAAGTGCTCATCTGCATGCCTGAGCCATGAGTACATTGTAGTGGTGGTAATATATTAATGTGACAAAATGTCTGGATTCAAGAAATGTCCAAAAATGGACTTAATTAAATCAGAATAATTAGATTAAATTTAAAAAAGTTCATGAAAAACTCCCCTCTGTATAACAATGTTATATGAATGTTAACGCTAGGGTTCCCGCCTCATCCCTTTAAACCCGAAACACATATTAATTACACAGGTTCTGTTGCTGATTAAGGTGGTAATTAAACTCACTTGGTGCATTATCTGCATTAAATTAGCCTCAGAACCTGTGTAATTAATATGTGTTCGGGTTTAAAGGGATGAGGTGGCAACCCTAGTTAACACACGCACGCACTATGGTACTGCGGTGTGCAGCAATTGTGCAGCATCTCTACCACAGTAAATGGGACAGTAAATGGAAAACACTCCAGTAAATAACCCGACCAGTGGGTATGGCAAGGTCCGCAATTCAAACTAAGAATGGATGTGATGGAAGGAAGTGGCTGCAAACAACCCAGCAAGGACACTGGAAGTGCAGTCTTGGACAGGAAGTGTGTGACTGATAGACAGGAAGTGCGTACCCAATGGACAGGAAGTCCTCAGGTCGGTCATTTTGCCGAAGTCCTCAGTGCCAGTAAACGTGGGGTCTCCAAGATGACATGTGCAGTCAGCTCCTCTCCTGGCCAAAACGTCAGGGGTTTGGGAGCTCTGAACCCTTAAGCAGGGGTGGACTGACCATTTGGAAACTCGGGCACTGCCTGAGGGCCCGGGGTCAGTAGAGGGCCCCATGAGATGCCCCTGGTACCTTTTTCATAGGCTTTTTTGAGTTTGGGCAAGGACACAGGGGCCCCATGATCCCCTATTGCCCGGGGGCCCCATGAGTTGTCAGTCCACCCCTGCCCTTAAGTACTCAGAGCTGGAAGCTTCTGTATTCATACTTCACAGGGAACAGCAAATAGATGTTCACTGGTCTCCCATTACTCTCCTTCCTGACATTAACCATAGAGGTCCCAGGCAACCAGGAGGGACAAGTAACTTGTGACATATGGCAGGGGTTGGATCATGCGGGTGGATTGGCATGTTTCCCACCATATAGAAATATTGCTGCCCAAATCACTTCACTAATGCATAGCCAGTGCTGCCAGACCCATAATAGTTAATGCAGCAGTAAAAGAGTTCATGCTTAACAGCTGTTGAGATAATAGATCACCCACACTGTAAAAGTATTGTTTCAAGGAGTCAAATGACTCATACATTTACATTGTGAGAAAGAGCACTAAAGCACAACCACCCTGTAACACTGGAAGCTGAGTCTGCATATGTAATAAGCAAATATGACTGCAGTCATGTACATATAAAGCAAAGATTTTTTTTTTTTTAATAATGCATACAGTTAAGATTATGCACATCAAGATACAATGCACTTTATACCCTCTATAGAGAAAATAAACACTTGAATATGAGGTCTACCTTACTGCAAAACCCAACAGCATTAAACGTTTATGTTTTATATGCATAGTGACAAAATATTTTTCATTTACTACAGTTCATTGACTTCCATTTCACACAGCTATCTAATTATTTATGTGAAGAGTATCAAGTCATTTGTTTGGCATACATAAACTGATTTTAATAGTGTCTTGCTCATTTCTATTCACATTTAATCAGTGTATTGTAAAAGAGAAGGAGAAATGCATATTTGCATGTGAGAAAGTATCCGATGAGGAAATAGGGATAAGAAATGTAATAAGCAACAATCCACACATCTCAGTTCTGTTTCAGTACCCCTTAATGTGCAAATCCCTTATCAGTCTTGTCTGTAAAATGAATGCATGTCACCTTGCTGTGCTGTGTTGGGTCGCTGTTATGTTTTAATTGCAAATGTAGAGGACTGATGTGGTACGGAAACTGCCACCTGAGGCTCTACAGTAAAAACAACACACTGATTGTATGAAGAACTTTAATATTGTGTAGATGCTTCATCCACCAGCATCCTCTGCTTGTGTAGTGAAATATAAATAAAAGCATAGGAAAAAAATCTCTGAATCAAGGCAGTATGAACTGGAAGAATAAAGGACCTGCAAATGCATGGGATCAGACTTAAAAGCCCATCTCCAGAATATTGATAACCTCTCCCTTCTGCCCCTTGACTAACCTCTGGTAAAAAGAAAAAAACTATCCAAATGCCCATTTTACTTACCTGAAGCCACAGTTTAGTGACAATCCATCCTGCTTGTTCTATTTACTTCCTGGGGTCCCTCTTTGGGTGTCCCCATTACTGTCTGTGGACACCTCCTATTGGTGGTGGCGACACTTCCAGCAGCCCGGTCCTCTCCCATAGGCTCCAGAGGCAGAAGTATTCACAGGAGTGGTGAGGGGTCCGGTGTGCAAGAAGATAACAAACAAGGAAATATGTCTGGTCCTCAGGATAGGAAATTAGCATGGCTTATAGAGGAAACTGTGACTTTGAACCATTACACTGCAGGGTGGCTTAGGAAGAGGTGTTTGGAATCAAGACTGAGGAGTAAGGTAAATGATGCACAAGGCATATTTAATTTTTGCCTGGAGTTTGGCTAAAGAAGTAAACTCACTGCCTCTAATAGTGCAATCTCATTGGTATATAATGTATATATAGGCATAAGAATATATAAAAATATATTTCACCCACTGACACCAAAGATGGGACACTGTTCCTCCCACTAAACTGATAAAGGGGCACTATTCCTCCCACTGATACAATAAGTGAGGTACTATTTCTTCACCAACACCAACAATGAAGAACTATTCCTCTCACCAATACCAATAAAGGAGAACGTTTCCTACCACCAACCCCAATGTTGAGGAAGTATTCCTCCCAATGATACCAACAATGGGACATTATTCCTCCCAATAATACTAATGATGGGACACTATTCCTTTCATTGACACCAAGGTAGGGGCACTTTTTACTCCCATTGACCACCTACCTTGGGGCATTTTTTACTCAATCTCACCACAAATTCAGAGAAATTATTTATGGCCACTGACCATTAATGTAGGGGAATGTTCTATTCCCAATTACCATAATCTGTCCCTTTCTACTTCCACTGACCATTGTTTGAAAGGCAGTGAACTGGTTCTTTGTTTAAAAAGTTTTGTGACCCTCATATTATTACCACTTTTGTGGCCAGAGTTCACTGATGCTTAGATGTCCAGAGCCCCAGTTAATGTGAAAATATATAACTAAATTGCCTTCCCAATTTTTCATTTTCACTTTCAGACCCTAGTGGCAATGACTGGACAAGCAGAGATAGTGATGTAGCGCCCTACACTAGATGGGATAAATACATTTTTTGGATCTGCTGTACCCAGCTAAGCAGAAACATTTTTTTAGACCTAGTCAGATCTCCCTAATCCTGGTGGTTGATTGTTCCTGCCTGCCTCTAGAGCAGTGGTTCTCAACCTTTCTAATGCCGCGACCCCTTAATACAGTTCCTCATGTTGTGGTGACCCCTAACCATAAAATTATTTTCGTTGCTACTTCAGAACTGTAATTTTGCAGTGGGAGGAATAGTGCCCCATCATTGGTATCAGTGGGAGGACTAGCGCCCCATCATTGGTATCAGTGGGAGGAATAGTGTCCCATCGTTGGTATCAGTGGGAGGAATAGTGCCCCATCACTGATGTCAGTGGGAGGAATAGTGTCCCATCGTTGGTATCAGTGGGAGGAATAGTGTCCCGCCATTGGTGTCAGTGGGAGGAATAGTGCCCCATCATTGGTATCAGTGGGAGGAATAGTGCCCCATCATTGGTATCAGTGGGAGGACTAGCGCCCCATCACTGATGTCAGTGGGAGGAATAGTGTCCCATCGTTGGTATCAGTGGGAGGAATAGTGCCCCATCGTTGGTGTCAGTGGGAGGAATAGTGCCCCATCATTGGTATCAGTGGGAGGAATAGTGCCCCATCATTGGTGTCAGTGGGAGGAATAGTGCCCCATCATTGGTGTCAGTGGGGGGAATAGTGCTCCATCATTGGTGTCAGTGGGAGGAATAGTGTCCCATCATTGGTGTCAGTGGGAGGAATAGTGCCCCATCATTGGTATCAGTGGGAGGAATAGTGTCCCATCATTGGTGTCAGTGGGAGGAATAGTGCCCCATCATTGGTGTCAGTGGGAGGAATAGTGCCCCATCATTGGTGTCAGTGGGAGGAATAGTGCCCCATCATTGGTGTCAGTGGGAGGAATAGTGCCCCATCATTGGTATCAGTGGGAGGAATAGTGCCCCATCATTGGTGTCAGTGGGAGGAATAGTGCCCCATCATTGGTATCAGTGGGAGGAATAGTGCCCCATCATTGGTATCAGTGGGAGGAATAGTGCCCCATCATTGGTGTCAGTGGGAGGAATAGTGCCTATCATTGGTGTCAGTGGGGTGAGGAATAGTGCCCCATCGTTGGTGTCAGTGGGGGGAGGAATAGTGCCTATCATTGGTGTCAGTGGGGGGAGGAATAGTGCCCCATCGTTGGTGTCAGTGGAGGGGAGGAATAGTGCCCCATCGTTTGGTGTCAGTGGGGGAGGAATAGTGCCCCATCGTTGGTGTCAGTGGGGGAGGAATAGTGCCCCATCGTTGGTGTCAGTGGGGGGAGGAATAGTGCCCCATCGTTGGTGTCAGTGGGGGGAGGAATAGTGCCCCATCGTTGGTGTCAGTGGGGGGAGGAATAGTGCCCCATCGTTGGTGTCAGTGGGGGGAGGAATAGTGCCTATCGTTGGTGTCAGTGGGGGGAGGAATAGTGCCTATCATTGGTGTCAGTGGGGGGAGGAATAGTGCCTATCATTGGTGTCAGTGGGGGGAGGAATAGTGCCTATCATTGGTGCCAGTGGGAGGAATAGTGCCCCATCGTTGGTGTCAGTGGGAGGAATAGTGCCGCATCGTTGGTGTCAGTGGGGGGAGGAATAGTGCCCCATCGTTGGTGTCAGTGGGGGGAGGAATAGTGCCCCATCGTTGGTGTCAGTGGGGGGAGGAATAGTGCCCCATCGTTGGTGTCAGTGGGGGGAGGAATAGTGCCCCATCGTTGGTGTCAGTGGGGGGAGGAATAGTGCCCCATCGTTGGTGTCAGTGGGGGGGGAGGAATAGTGCCCCATCGTTGGTGTCAGTGGGGGGAGGAATAGTGCCCCATCGTTGGTGTCAGTGGGGGGAGGAATAGTGCCCCATCATTGGTGTCAGTGGGAGGAATAGTGCCCCATCGTTGGTGTCAGTGGGAGGAATAGTGCCCCATCGTTGGTGTCAGTGGGAGGAATAGTGCCCCATCGTTGGTGTCAGTGGGAGGAATAGTGCCCCATCGTTGGTGTCAGTGGGGGGAGGAATAGTGCCTATCATTGGTGTCAGTGGGGGGAGGAATAGTGCCCCATCGTTGGTGTCAGTGGGGGGAGGAATAGTGCCCCATCGTTGGTATTAGTGACACAAATGATGGGGCACTTTTCCTCCCACTGACACCAATGATACTTACCTTGCTGACCCCTGCTCCAGCCTGGGCTCGCTCTCTCCCTCTCCCATCTACAGCCTGCAGAAGCAAAATTTGCACTTACCTGTCAGCTGTCTTCCTTCTCTGGCCTCTCTCCTCTTCACTCGGTCCTGCAGCTCCCTCGATCTTCTTTGATCTGCGCGCTCTGCCGCTCGGCTCCTCCTCTCCAAGCTCCACCTCCTCGCCGGTGATTGGCCGCCTGTGTGCCTCTCCTGAGCTACAGTTCCGGTGGCCAATCAGCGGCGAGGAGGCGGAGCTGTTGAGTGATCCCGGAGGTGTGGCCAGGTTACAGGGGCAGCATATCATCCCGCCCACAGATCGCGAGACAGAGCAGCGGTGTCTCGGTTCCTAAGACCATCGGAAATATGTGTTTTCCGATGGTCTTAGGCGACCCCTGGGAAATGGTCGTTTGACCCCCAAAGGGGTCGCGACCCCCAGGTTGAGAACCGCTGCTCTAGAGAAAGCTTTCAAAAATAGGAAGAGAGGAGTAGAAGGGTGAGCTGCTAGGTTATGAATATTCATCTGACCTCCCCTGAGAGGCAGTGCTCAGAAAGTGTGGCTGTGGACAAGACAATTGTTTAGTAGGCCTGTTCAAAGTATTCTTTTCCTGAGGGGTCTGCTCATGAGAGGCAGCTTGTGCTACTAAAAGTCTGTTGCTGTTCAGCCTCAACCTCTGTGCTTAGCTGATGGCCCAAAATATATCTGCTGGAGGATATTACCTTATGAAGCTAAGCTAGAGAAGGACCCTTTTCACTGAAGAGTGTCACATTGAAACTGGTTGGAGAGCTATCTCTGGACATTGTGAGTTGTACCCTTTGTCTAGACCCCCAGGTGTGCATGTGCTTTGAGGGTTAGATTCCAGAGATTGCTGCAAGAACTGTGACTGCTCTTACAGAGTCTCAGACTAGATGGCTGTTCCTGCCACTTTCAGCAATAATTAAAGTAGTTCTAAAGCCTTAAGGTTTCTGTATTCTTTGCATTAAGGTAATAAACCTGCTGTGCAGATGATTTCCTGCTAGAGCCCCGTTTTACTTACTTGAGCCCAATCACAATCCAATACTGTGCCTAAGAGCAGGGGCTCTCTGCTCTCTCCTTTTTCACAGGGCAGACTGATAGCAGCAAGAACCATTGGCGAGCCTATGTTTGTCAGTGTGCTTTGGAACTGGTACCTGGGCCTGGCCACCTCTGAACAGGTAAGGGAGAACTAGGTTATTTTAAGCGGCCCCTCCAGGGCTGAGTGCTGCAGTGAATTTCCCCAAGGGTGACACAGACAGCAGCATAAATCTAATAGGGTTACTAACCCTTCCCTACTTAATTGTACCATATAACAAACTACAGTAAGCCCCACCTACGTTTTTTTCACTTTTTACAGCTCATATGATGCCCACCTGCCCATTGGACAATAAATCAACATTAGGGTCTGTTTTGACAGGATTTTATTTGCATTGGATGTCCTGTCTGCATAAATGTAAAATCCATTTAAAGAAGGTTAAATGCAGGTAAGAAGGAGGTCAACTTCAGGTCAAATGCAGCAATCTCTAAATTCTGAATGGTCTCAGAAGTGTTTCAAACTGATGTCAAACTCATGCCGAAGCCTTTCCACACAGACCCTTAGGCTAAGCTTACACTATCCATGCTTAAAAAAGTGATGTTTAGTCAAATATCACTTTACAATGGGACTAATGCACCATAATGGGGAGCCAAGTATTTGGCTCATGGTTTTGGCATGGCCCCATTAACTTGAATGGCTCAGTTTGTGAGGTGGGGTTGCCTGTCAACTCGACATGTCATGTTAGATTTGCATGGTGGTCAAAGCATGTGAAAATCCCCCTCCGGCTGTATTTTAGATTTTTGGTGGGCAATCAATTGCCTAGTTTTTACTGCCCCTAGTCCACCCATGTAAAAAAGGACTTACAGAGATGCTGTCATAGTTCAGTGAGCAGGCATGAGAAATACGAAGGTGCATAATTGAAATAAAAAGCAGTGATGTTATCTGGCTAGTTTTGCATGTAACATACATGTATGGATGTCTTAACAGAATTAAACATTAAGCAAAAACTTCATAGATGTATTTCAATGTTGTATCTATAGCTACTTGCTTTGCAGCTAACATTTCAAATTATTTTTCAAGGTAATACATATATTTTATTAGGACTATTGCTTTCTTTATTCCAATTAAGGTCTTTCTCTTGCAGCATTAATATCTATGCTATATATCCACCCACTCTTTATATCCAGTGACCCAAGTAGCAGTGTTTTCTGAGAAGCGTTCATGTTCTGATTCTACGTTTGCACTCAGCAAGCTACCTGCATTGTAAGGTCACAGTATATGTGTCCTTTTTATGAATATTTCAGTGCTGACGGGAACCTTTGTGATATGAATTGGCATCAAAGCCAATGAGACAAGTGGAGTGAGCCAAACTTCTGCATACATATCAGTTGCATTAGTCAAACCTCTTTGTGCTTTAGTCATTGCAATACGTTTTATCCTCATGAGTGTTGCGAACAGATCAGCAATAAAGTCAATTTGAAAAATGTTAAAGTACATTAGGATGGCTCATATTATGCAAATATTAAGTGCTGCTTTCATCCTTTCCTTAATTCAGCATGAGGCCGTCAATATAAATTAGGCATTGCTTGTTTCTAGACATCTCTTGGAAAAGACTCAGCTGCCATAATTTTCAGGGCTCGCATACTCTATATTATTTTTTATGCAATAGAAAAAGTTTACTAGCCTGGGGTATTTACTGAAGGAAGAGACATTTAGCTGTTATTGTAAAACCTGAATTATGCAAAAGTCTGTTTATTTACTAAAACGGCAGAGCTTTAATCACAGGTCAGTGAAGAATGAAACTTATAATTCCAAGTTAAACACCCCTGTCTGCTTCATGAAGAGTATGAAATGGGAAAATCACAAGCAGGCGCTTCTGATAATTATATATTTTACGCCCCTATGCTAGTTCACTCTCTATGAAATGTCAGCCAGTGCTACAGGGCAAAAATGGCAGAGACTGGAAGAGATGGATAATTTAAAAACAGCACATGTGTTTCAGTGCAGAAGAACACAGTCCAATATGACTAACTGATAAGATAATATAGCGATGCTCCTGTATGTACACTAGATCACAGCTGCATGACGATGTGAATACAAGCTTTGATAATAGGGCATACTATTTTATATGGCTTAATCTCAGAAGGCCAGCTGTTGGCACACTTATCGAAAAGATAGAGCTTCATTAAAGATTTTCAATAAGAAAATTTGGAGCCAATTACACAATACGATAAAAAACAAACCTGCATTATAAAGATGTAATAGACATATTTTATATCAGTTATGTTATATATTATCGGTTACATTTAATATTTATTCATTTTAAAGTATCAGTCTAACTTAAAGCGGTATTAAACCTAAAACCAAAAATGTATTATATTGCAGTTTACCCATCAGTAGGTGTGGTGGCTGCATTAGTTTTCTTTTTAGGCTTTTTTTCCTTGTGTTTTCAGCTGGTGATCTGGCCAGTGGCATACCTCCAGTATTAGTGAGACACCACTCTGGAGAAATGAGCCGGGAAACAAGCAGACAGCAGCATTGTCAGTCTGGGGGGATGGGAGTGGTAAATGTAATAGCAGATTTGAATGCAATAACAAATTGAAGCCAAACTCCAGCTCACACTTTATATTCAATTACAGCAAAACCGTTTTTTTCCTTTTGGGATAAAGGTTTTACATGATTAAATAAGTTGATAATTTTAATCACCTCTACCACTGGTAAATGGATTGTCTCATTCGTTCTCCTGGAGGGCTTAAACTTCTGAAAAAACAGCAGACTTGTTGGATAAATCACCAGATGAAAATAGAAGAATGAAAGCCTAAAAAAGGAAACTAATACAGCCTTCAAATCTAAGCATGGTAAGCTGCAATAAAACAAATATTTGCTTTTAGGTTGAATGCTGCTTTAAATTTAAATCCCAGGTAGGAATAAAAAATGCTAATGAATGTGGTTATGTGTTTACAAAAAACACAATGTATTACAAATGTAATTACTGTAAGTACCTGTATTTGAATTTGTATTGGGCTCTTGAAATATTCCTGTACATTAACCTTCAGGCTGGGGGAGGAAGGCAGTACTTGGGTCAAATCAACTTCTGCTTCATTCACATGCTGTAACAAGGAGCATGGTAACAGGAGGACAGAGCAGAGTAATCAGAAGGATGAACCTGTCAATATGCTGCTTATTCAATGTCCAATAAAAGGCTGTGGGTAGAGTTATGCTGTAATCTATCTTTGCTGTTAAAATGCAGAAGAGAAATGTCAGGCTCTGCTGTCTGCCAGGGTTTTGTAAATCTCAGGACTGGATGGACAGAAACACAAATCCTTTGACAATTAAGTCATATATCAATATGTATATTCCAACTCTGTAGCTGCTTGTTTTAGTTTGTTCATGCAAGCCAAATTAGTCATCAGCTTCACAAGGAATCCACAAACTAATCCAACCAACAGTATCTACAGTATATCTATACTAAATATTAGCATTGAGTGGATCCTCTTATTCACATTACATACAATAGATACACATTTTTAGATACATAAGTTGTCTATTTTTAATTTTTATTACAAAACTTTAAAACCTGTAATGAGAGACATAGGGGGCTGCTGCCACTGAACTCTCCTAAAAGTGCTAGTTGCTTGGCTGCAATGATGGAACTCTTGCTTCAGTTATTTGAGTCACTGGACTAAAAAAAGTATGCAGATAAGGACTTCTGTCTTTTCTCTGACCATCCTGATCTGCATACCATTTCCATCTCATTGAATCCAAAAGGATTTGAAGCCAAATGGTTAACATAAAAGCTGGGGAACTACCTTTTTAAGAAGGTCAGGAATGGCATCCCCCATATTTTGCTCATGACAACCATCGCCAAAACTTCAACATGCATTGTAGTGAAACCCATCTTTAAGAATGGGTTTTTTGTTGAAAACAAT